CCCAAAACCCTAAACCCTTAATCCTAAACCCTGAACCCTAAACCCTGAACCCTGAACCCTAAACCCTAAACCCTAGAGAGATCCCAAACTGCAAAGGGCAAGCGGGTACCTCTTGGCGAAGCGAGGCTTAGACTGTGAAGTCGCCAAGGAGAAGGAAGTATAGACTTGTAGATCCATAGTGCTTCCTTTAAGGAACATCCAATAAAAAGTGTTCAAGCACAGTACTACAGAACCCAAACCCTAAACCCTAAAACCTAAACCCGAAACCCTAAACCCAAAGTCCTAAACCCTAAACCCTGCTTAGAGTTTCAGTTGTTCAGGGCCGGGTTGTCCACATTGCATCGGAAGACTTCTCAGTGATGGACTTTCAGAGTACGCTATGCAAAGGACTCTACCGCAGGCTCACTTAAACCCCAAAACTCTAAACCCCAAACTCTTAAGCAACCTTAAATAAATCCAACAACCTAAACCTCACAAAAAAAGTTGATACTTAAACCCAAAGCTAGACACCCCAAATCCTAAACCAACCTTAAGCCCAACAATATACATCTCGTTTCTTAAGCCCTAAGCCCCGAATCGAGTCTAAGCCCAAAGCCCAATTCTAAACCTCATAAAGCTGAAGGCCCTACACCCCAAACCCTAAACCCGAAGCCCTGAACCCCTAAACCGTAAGGTTTAGGGTAGACCCTAATACCCTAAACCTAAACCCCTAAGCCGGGTTTAGGGTTTAGGGTAAACCCTAAACCCTAAACCCCTAAACCACAGGGTTTAGGGTTTAGGGTAGACCTTGAATCCCAAACCTAAACCCCTAAACCATGAGGTTTAGGGTTTTACGGTAGACCCTAAAAACCTAAACCTAAACCCCTAAACCCTAGGGTTCAGGGCTTTCCGGTAGACCCTAAGCCCCTAAACCTAAACCGAAACCCGGACTCGCCTTGTAGCCCTTATAGAATCCTTTAAGGAACCCTTTAAAGGACCCTATTCTAATTATTAAGGCCCCTATACTAGAGCCTTTGACGCGCCTTGTAGCCCCTAGACCGAAACCCTAAACCATAGGAACCCCTTGAAGGAACCCTTTAAAGGACCCTATTCTAATTACGTAGACCTTAAACCCTAAACCCAAACCCCGACTCGCCTTGTAGCCCCATTGCGTCTGCAGAAAGTTGCGGATGCCGAAGCCGTTCACGCGGGCCGTCACCAAGGCAGCCCGGTAGTCCTTCGCCCAATGAAACCCCTTAAAGGGCTCTAGTGTAGGGTTTAGGATTTAGGGTTTAGGGGTTTAGGGTATAGGGTTTAGGGTATAGGGTCTAGGGTTTAGGGTTTAGGGGTATAGGGTTTAGGGTTTAGGGTATAGGGCTTAGGGTCTAGGGTCCTTCGCCCAATGAAACCCCTAAAAGGCTCTAGTATAGGGACCTTGATAATGAGAGTAAGGTCCTTTAAAGGGTTCCTTACAGGGTTCTTTAAGGGCTACAATGAGGGTTTAGGGTATAGTGTTTTGGGGCCCATTATACTATAATTCTAATAAGGAGCCCCCCAAAATAGTACAGGTATTGGTTTAAGCCCCTAAACCCATTTAGGGTTTCTTTTTCTGGGCTTCAGGGTTGAGGGTTTGGGGTTTTATTTTTAAGGCTTCTGAACCCCATAAGCCCTGAACGTTCCCCAGGGCCTGAACCCTAAGCCCGACATCCCAGCCCTCAGCTCGTCCTTCATGGCCTGCTTGTTGATGGCACCTCAAGGGCTGCAGGAGGAGGACACCGGTTTAGGGTTTAGGGTTTAGGGTTTTGGTTTAGGGTTTAGGGTTTAGGGTTTAGGGTTTAGGGTTTAGGGTTTTGGGTTTTGTTTTTTTTTTTTTTTAAAGTTGCCATGGCCCCTTTCCTGTGCGACAGACGAAGCTTTAGGGCTTAGGCTTCAGGGTTTAGGGTTCAGGGGTTTAGGGCTTTGGGTTTGGAGGCCTCGCAGGGTGGGATGAAGGTAGGTCGGATGAAGGACCCCTTATATAAGGACTCTTCTTTTGGGATTGCCCCACCTACCTTCATCCCACCTTTGGAGACCTTGGAGGATATTGGATTGAAGCTTTAGCTGGATATTGAAGTAAACAGGGAGTAAAACAGCATAGACTGTTATCTTGCAAGGGTACCTTTCAGGAACAGGTCAAGCCACAAAGCCTTCAAATATCCCACAATCCCACTCCACCTTGCTCCTCCAAACCTTCGGTACCCTTAAGCCAAACACCCACAAGCCTTCGATCAAGTATTTATAGTCTAACAATGTAAAGTCTAGCTCATCATGGTATGTTGTGGCAGATATGAGGCTATCTTTTTGGTGTGACAGGCCTCGTGGGAAGACGCCCACTGCGAGGCGCGCTATGAACTCTTGTGCCGCTGAAGCTTTGTCCAGGAAGTTGCTATCCTTTCTCAAAGGAGCTCGAACAAAGAAGGTGGGGTTTGTGAGGTTTCGTGCTGTCGGATTTCAGCAGTTAGGCCTTCAAAGGGGGTTTCGAGGGTGTCGGCTTGGTGGGATCAGCCGATCCACACCGTCTTTGAAATATACTGTCGGGTGTTCTGAGAGCTCGGGGCGTGAGCCACTGCAGAGCTCCTGTTACTCGGCTGCCACAGGCAACCTGAAGCTAATGGAGCGAGTTGAGCGACCCAACGTTTCGTGAGCGTTTGCCTTCCAAACCTACATATAGTCTCCATTGTAGTTCCTTCTTTGGGTTACCTCACAGGAACCCACATATAAAACCGGTCAACCTCCATAAAAGGAACTACAATGGAGAACCCTAAACCCTAAACCCCCCAAAAAAGAACTACAATGGAGACGATAATTAGTGTTTACCTGAACTCTCAGCCTTGCCCCGGAGGTATCATGGGCGTCACAGTTGACAATTCGCCTTCTATAGTCACGGCCTTAGAGTGGCCTCGACAGGATCAACAAAGGCTCCTTTTTGGGTAGTTCTCTGTATTAGGGTCTCTTTTCTAGGTCACCAAAAGAGTACGGCACCCTTAAAAAGGGACTGCCCAAAGGGACCCTAATTTCAAAGAACTTGCTCGCATAGTAACATCAGCAACGTCTAGGCTTCAGCCTAAGGTTGAAACCATGATAGCCCTGGGCCCTAAACCCTATAAACCCTAAACCCTATAAACCCTATAAGCCCTAAACGCATAACTCCCGGGCCCCTAGGATGGGCTCTTCAGGTTCCATAAGGGTCCAAATTAGGGGCCAATACTTAGGGTTTAGGGGTTAGTTATACTTCTAACCTTAGGGTTTAGGCTTTAGGGTTAGATTTAGGGACCGTGGTGATTCGAAGTCCTTTTGCACCGTTTTCGGGTTTGAAGGCTATGGTCTCGTACTTGGAACACCCTATACGCGCTTCCCGCACTGTGCCGGGTTCGGGTGCAGGGATTCGGGAAGCGGACATCAGAGAGCAGCCACTCGTCCCTAGACAAAGTACCCTTCCTCGAAGTAAGAAATATGTAACCCCAACCCTAACGCCTAAACCCTAAACCCTAAACCCCAAACCCTAAACCGCTCTAAACCCTAAACCCTAGGTGGCCTTGCAGCTTTTTCAGGTTTACCGCCTTCGAAGTTCTGAACTCCCAATCTTTGGGTTTTTTTTTGGGGCTCAGCGGATTTCCTGGACTTTGAAGTTACCAGAGAAAAAAGTCAAGACTTCGATGTCGTGACGATTCCTTAGAGGAACAGGTCCAAAGAAAACGTTCAAGTCTGGTACTCAGATGCTCCTCAAAAACTACCTATAGTGTTTGGGGAGTTCCGTATAATGACTACCCTATTCTAATTATAAAGGCCCCTATACCCTAAGCCCTCGCAGTGGCCCATATAGAACCCTTTAAGGAACCCTATAAAGGAACCCGCAAAGCCCTATATCAACTAGTAAGACCCCGACATTATTTCCCCCGCTCCCCCTGCCCTGGCCTGGAAGCCCAAAGCCGCCCTTGGAGAGTCAAAACCTTGGCGCTCGAGCCGCCTTGGCGGTCGGGCTTTGAGGCTTATAAGGTTTAGGGCTTAGGGTNNTTTTTTTTTTTGGGGGGGGGGGGTTGAGGTGCCACAAGGCTGTTTAAGGGTTGCTGCAAGCGGTGCTGCAAGAGTTTATGGTCTAGGCTTCACGTCTATGGGGTTTTAGGGTCCAAAATTTGGGGGACTAGGGTCCGAGATCTCTACTGCTCGCTTTAGGGTTTAGGGTCAATGGTTTCGGGGTTTAGGGTGTGAACTCCATACCTTGCACAAGGGTGCTGATGAGAAGGATCCTAGAATTGAGCTTATGTGGTGGAAGCAGGTTGAGTAGGGTTCCCAATAGCCCAGAGTAGGTACTCGCTGTCGAGTCTAGGTTGGTCCTTTAAAGCGTTAAAACATGTTCGCCCATAACAGGATCAAAAGGCCTACCTGGGTGGTTGTCCAAATTATGGTTCCTTTTTGGGTCCTTNNTTATTATAATACGGCACCTATTATTAGGGTACCCCAAAATGGACCATAATTTTGACAACTACCCACCAATGTTCTGTGTTCCAGACCCACAAGAGCTGCAAACTTCTACGGCGAGCAGCCGCAGCTGGCTCACCGCTGCCTGTTCCAGGAGTGTGGCGGGCTCCTGCGAAGCATACTTAATTTAGCTGTAAAATTATTGTTACTGTTTCTTGAACACCTATTTTCCGGTCTGCAGAGACGTTACTTTTAGGGTTGAGGGTTTAGGGTTTAGGATCCCTAAACCTTAGGATGTTTTCCTGGTTCTTTTGTCTTCTAGCAGGGATTTGTAGCGCCCATTGCAAGGGAGTAAGGGGTCTTGGGTTCGGGTTTCAGCTTTAGGGTCTGTGGGTTTAGGCGGTCTATTTGGGCTTGAGCTTGGGTTTAGGGTTTAGGGTTAGGGTTTAGGCTTAGGGTGTAGGCTCTATTTGGGGCTTCGAGTTTGAGATTATCTCCGAGCTGGTCGTTTCCGGGACCTGGTACCGAAGCACTGTGTACCTCAACCTACCAGAACCTACTTCTTGGTAGGGCCCCCATAAATTCCATATTCGAGCTCACAGCAAGAACCCGCAGAAAAAAAAGTTTTGGCAGGTAGAAGTACCCAGACAGCCCAATACCCCTCAATGAATCAATTTACCTGCAATACTTATATGCAACAGCCTACAATCTAAGGTCTATCCCTTCTAGGAACCCTATTATAGTACCCTAATAGGTACCCTGACAAGAACCCTATAACTTAGGTCTGTTCCTTCATTACGGGGTGCTTAATGTAGGGGCCTTGTGAATGAGAATAGGGTTTTGAGTTTCCTTATTACAGTTTAAAGTAGAATATACCCTAAACCCTATTCTAATTATTCAGGCCCCTACATCTGGCTCTCCGGGGGCAGAGGCTTCAAGAGCTTTGAAGAAGGACTTCGAGCTGAGCGAGCCCTGACCTCCCCCGACGTCTCTCGGTTAGAGTTTAGGGTTTAGGGTTTAGGGCTTGTGAGGAAGGTACGGGTTTAGATTTTGGGGTCTAGGGGCTGAGGGGATTAGGGGTTTAGGGTTTAATCGGTCTGAGATACTGGACGTTGAAGTAACCACGGAGAATATAGTATAGATTTATATTTCGTAATGGTTCCTTTAAGGAACCGGTCCTAGAAAAGTCTTCAAGCATGGCACGAGAACCCACGGATGGCTTCTGGAAACCTTCTCGGAGATCTAAGGGTTCAGGAATTCAAGCGAATAGGGTATGGAACTTGGGTTTTAGGTTAACGATGCTTAGAGCCAGGTGGGAAATGATTCGCAATCGTGCCTAAACAAGCCAGAAAGCGTAACCCGGCAAGACTGAAAGCAGAACGGTCCGCTCCCTTGCCGGCTCTATGGTAGCTCAAGGTCACTCCTAAACCCTACACCTCAAAAGCCTCAACCCTACCGTCCACATCTGAATCCCACCCCCAAGCCCATCCTGCAGGTTCCCCAAAGCTGAGGATCATGGGACTTAGTAACCAGGGTTATAAATAAGGTAACTATAATTAGGGGGTTTAGGGTTTAGGGTTTAGGGTTTAGGTTATAAATAAGGTAACTATACTTATAACCCTAACTAGGGTACTTCTAACCTTACTTACTAATAAGTCCCATGATCCTCCAAGCAGAACCACCCAGGTCAAAGATAGCGGTTGTTAACACCCTGTGGTCTGAAACAATGCTACTTAGGGGCTGTGTACCCTAGCCCAAAAAAGGTTAACCTTTTGAATTATAGTAGGATTACATAAGCCCCAAAAGGTTAAAGGTTACCTACTTAGCCCCTAGGGCTCAAAAGTAGTAGACATCAAGAATGGTCCCAAACCCTAAACCCCTAAACCCTAAACCCTAAGCCCTAAGCCCTAAACCCTAAATAAACCCTAAACCCTAAACCCTAAACCAAAAGGGCCTTCGCATACTGCGCCCTGGTGGCTGCAGGGCTCGGCGCATCCTCGGCCTCGGCAGCACCCTCAAAGCGAGCTCTCGAGACCTAACAGGTTTCCCAAAGGGTAGGGTTTAGGGTTTAGGGTTTAGGGGGTCCGCAGTACAGGTTTCCCAAAGGGTCCAAAGTACCTTTTGTGGGGGTTTCCGAGAATAGGGGACCCTAATATAGTACCCTAAATAGTAGGATCCTTATTATAAGGACCCCCAAATAAGGTACCCTAATTTTCGGAAACTCCCATATGGCAGAATGTAGGGTTTCTATAATATGAATTACTATTTTGGTTTGGGCAAGTATCCCCCAAAGAAGTACTTAAGACCCTTTGGGTTTGGGATTGGGGGGGTCGAAGGCGGGGTGCTTTTCCGCAGCTTTGGTATCCAAACCCCTGATGTAGGGGCCGAAATAATTACTTACACTATTTGGGGGGGGGGGGGTCCTTNNAACTATAGTATAATAGGCCCCAAAACCCTATTCTAATTAAGGCCCTTCTTGTACGTTACCAAATGTCAGCAAGGTTTATCGAAAGAGACCCATCAAACAGACCATAACCCGAACCGCTTCAGGTAAACGCTGTTCTGGTAGCACCTGCCCATGAAACCTTCGCTGAAGCCTACGCCCTGATCCAAAATCCTATCCAACTTGAAGCCCCGACGCCCTGAAGAGCCAACAAAAACACAACCACAACCCTGCCCCAAAGTTGAAAAAACAGACGGTTTAGGGTTTAGGGATTTAGGGTATAACGCCCTGAGCAAAAAGCTTCAGCCCCCGAGGGTTCTATGCAAAACACGAAAGCCCGAAACTGTTTCATGGTCGGGAAAGTTGTCTGATGCAAACATTCTTGCTTGTTGAGTTGTAGCACCCATCAAAGCAAAAGCTTCTATTCCTTGAGTTTAAATATACCACCCAAAAAACAGTAAATTTTTATCCTACTATGACAAAGCAAAGCTAAACCCGGAACCCTAAACCCCAAAACCCCTAAACACGCAACCATAACCCTAAACACTAACCGCCCCCCCGCCCTCCTCAGATAAAGCAGCCCAGCGGCTGAAGATGCCTCCTCCAAGGGTTCCAATACGACGACGTGCTCGGCACAACGACCTCCCGATCTCGGGGGCTCTACCCGCAGCGCGAAACCCTCCAAGATAGGAAGTTACCAGCCCATGTATAGTTACTATGTGGGCTTCACTAACTATCAATACTGTTTTTTGGGGGCTCCTTATTACAATTCATAATATAACATACCAGAGAACCCTACTCTAAGTATTAAGGCCCCTATAGTATAGCTATAGGGTTTATAGCCCAGAAACCAAAAGAAACCCTAAACCCTAAACTAAACCAAAAAGTTCCCCAAACCCTAAACACTAAACTAAACCCTAAACCCTAAACCCTAAACCCTAAACCAAAAGGTCCCTAAACCCTGAACCCAAGGTTTCTGGATCTCCAGGTAGGCTCCGAAAGCTGCGCAGGACTTTAGGCTTTGGAGTCTCAGGGTTTGGGGCCGCAGGGCAATGCCAGGATCTAATGTAGGGGCCTTAATAATTTTAATAGGGCTTCGGGTTTAGGGTTTAGGGTTTAGGGTTTAGGGTTACCTTATACTATAACTATAAGAAGGAGCCCCCAAAAATGCCATTGGTGATTATTTAGATTATTTAAACTTCTATGTCAATGCTTCTATGTTATTGGGGCTCCTTCAAAGAGGCTCGGGGCTTGCGTGCTTGAGTGCTTGAGGCTTTTGTGGCTTGAGGGCCTTGGGGTTTAGCTGGTTAAACCCCTCAACAGCCACTGGGCTCATTACCCCACTGGAACCCCACACCCTCAAACCGTAAACCCTAAATCCTCATACCCTAAAATCCTAAAACCCTAAAGCCTAAACCCTAAAGCCTCAAACCCTAAGCTCCAAACCCTCATACACTAAAATCCTGAAGCCTACAGCCTAAACCCCCAAACCCTAAACCCTGAACCCGCATACCCTAAAATCCTAAAACCCTAAACCCTTAACCCTAAATCCTAAGATCCTAAACCCCTGAACCCGTGGAAGTGCGGAGCCTGAAAGCTTGGCGAAGTTCACCATCAGCCTCGGCGGGATTCTCCGACCCCCGATGGCGCGGGCCCCGGAGCGATGTCATCCCACCGGCAACGGCTTAGGGTTTAGGGATTAGGGTTTAGGGTTAGGGTTTAGGGTCTAGGGATTCGGGTTGGGGGTTTGGGGTTTAGGACTCTAAAGTCCAAGTCCTAACAACATCGGGTTTTGGGGAACTGACGGAACTACATCCCGAAAGCTTGAAGTGGGAATTTCAGAAGCTAGGTCGCCAAGCAAGGCTTGGGGCTTGGGATTTCGGGTTTGGGGGTTAGGAGCACCCCATTTTAGAGTATTATAGATGGCTCCATGTTGGTTTTACATGGGTTGAGAGCTGCACAACCCGCGAAACAGAAACAACTTCCAAAACCAGTGGGATCCGACTGTGCTGTGAGAGCCACCCAACAAAACAAAGCAGCCCTGATCCTAAACCCTGAACCCCTAAACCCCAGAACCTAGACCATCCTAGACCGTAAACCCCTAAACCCTAGACCCTAAACCCTAATCCCATAGCCACAGGCCCGGGTCTCGGCTCTGCCCCTTCTAGAGCGGTTTGGCCTGCATGTGCCTGGGTTTAGGGTTGAGGGCTTAGGGGTTTAGGGGTTTGCATGTTGAACTTGTGATTGGGAGCTTTATCGGGATTCAGATAGGGTTTAACAGGGTCTTAGATGGGTTGAAATTATGCCTTGTATTATAATCACCATCCTTCATCTCGCCTGCTCCTTAGACGCACAACGTCTTTAAACGCACTACATATATATATATATATATATTTATGCAACACTAAAGTCCCAAGGAACATCCTGTCTTGGCGGCACATTTCAGAAAACCGTATTCACATGGACTGCACAAAACTCGCGGTTGGCAGGATCTTATCTGAACCCCCTCCCCTCGGATAGACTGTACACAAGAAGCCGTTTCTGGCAGCCTGTAGGACTCAGGACAAAATTCGTGGAAAGGCTCCCAGAAAAAGAGCGCTCAAGGCAGCTTCACAAAGTTGGTAAAGCCAAAAGCTCGCTTGCAAACTGGGCACTCCTTCATCGTGTCCAAGGAAAGCCCGTCGCCCCTGTCGGGAAAACACGAGATTTCCGCCTTTGTTCTTCTCAAGACAGTATGTGGTTGCTTGTGTTTTGGGGCCTTTGGATCGGGGTTCGTGGGACGCTTGTCTTCGTTGTTTCTCCGGGCTGGACATCGCCGACTCGATCTGCTCAAGGTCACACAGATTTGCATGTCCTTTGATTGACGATCGCAGGAATGCAGGAGTACAGACCTACCCCTAAACCCAAAATCCCAAGACTCAGCTTGAAGCTTGAATCCTTAACCCCAAGTCTCAAGCCCTAAGTCTCGCTTCCAAGCCCCCTTAAGCCTGTATAAGCGATAGAAGCGTTTAGCCCACTTAGTAGCTAAAACCCTCAATCCTCTAAATCCTACGGTAGGCTCCGAGAACCCCAGCCACTTCCGAGAGCTTCCAGCATGTATGAGGAACCAGGACCAGTTGAAGGATCATGGGTTTCAGTAGGGTTTTTGAAGGCTTTATATGAAGGGTTCTATAAAGTTGGACAAGGGTTTCACAGGGAATTAGCAGGGTTTCACAGGGTTTGCTGACATGCGCAAAAGCCCGTCCCTCAACCCTAAATCCTGAAAGAAACCCTGATGAACCACGTGACGAGATGAAGCGGGGAGCCGCTGAGGGGTGGAGAGTTTGGGGCGTGGGGTTTAGGACTTCGGGCTTTGGGAGTTCATCGTTTAGGATTTAGGCACTCAGGATGTGATTTAGTGTGTAAGGATTCAGCAAATCATCTCATGATAACTGCAATATGTTATGCAGGTGCAACGTTGGGGGTTCCAATGTTTGAGTCAAGTCTTCTGCCGGTCGCTCCGCGCTCTCCATTGCAGCAGTGCTTTTCCTACACCCTAAACCCTAAACCCAAACCCCAAACTGCATCACGCCCCAAGATTCTGGAGGTTTCGGCCGTATCTCGGAGGGTCACCTGGCTTTGCGGTGTCCGGATCTTTGCCCGTGTCCTTCACGTAAGACTGTGACAGGGACAGATGGGCTGCTCCACGCAGCCAACAGTAGGCCATGTCTTGGCGAGTGATCAGCTGCAAGTTCCGGTCCCGGCAGTTCTGCCGCACTGTGTCAGAGCAAGTCGCTGGCGCGATCCAGCCCACCACACATGAGACTCAGCTACTCGATCTCCGCGATGACCAAAACGTAGGGAAGGGACGAGTTGGCGGGTTTGACTACGGCAGTTTATCGTTTAGGTTTGGTTTACGGTCCCTCACTTTTCCAGCTTCACAAGACTATTTTTCGTGGACGACCGCGGCGAAGTGCGCGAGTGTTCATTTCCAATCCTCATCTAATGAACATGAAATCTTGGTCTATGTCATTCTGGCTGCAGGACCAGAAGTACCGAGCCTGATGTCCAGAGGGCATGGGGTTTGCCAGATTTCCTCCAGCAGCCAATCCTTGGAACTCGGAACTTCTGATGATTCGATTTCTAAACCCTATACATATAAACCCTGAATTAAACCCAATAAGCCCAAAATAAACCCTAAACCCAAGAAGCCCTAAACCCTAAACCCCATAACCTACAGCCAGCGTTCCATGCAGCTCACACCCTTACTTAAGGAATATACCTTAAACTATAGGGGCCTTAATCTGATGATTTAAGGTATATGCCTCAGTTAAGGGGTATTGGGCTCTCTGGGAATCGGGTTACTACGTGTTTAGGGTTTGGGATTTAGGGTTTCGGGTTTTTTTTGGAATGAAGTTTAGGGCTTAGGGTTTAAGGTTTAGGGTTTAGGTGGCATAGTGTTAACACACCGAGTTGGGCAACATGTGAAAACTAAACGGAACTAAACTCTAGATCCTGAACACTGCATCTTGGGCCCGAAGCACTTCAAGTTGGAACCAGCAGCTGCAGCCAATGTCTAAACGTCCGTAGCTCGAGCCCTCCAGTCCAAGTTTGCAGGGCTTTGATGTAGGGGCCTTAATAATTAGAATAGGGTTTTGGGCTCCCGTGTACTATAATTATAATAAGGAACCCTAAGGAATCATGTAGGTAACTCTTTAAGCTTCTTTTTTTTCCGGGTTCTTCGAGGTTTCGGTGAGGGTTCGACACTGTACTGGCTCAGGGGTCTCGGGTTTATAGGAGTAGAGTAGTTCAGGGGCTTACGATTTAGGGATTTAGGGGTAGGGTTTAGTGTTTAGGGTATAGGGTTTCTAGGAGTTCAGCAGTTCAGGGGCTTACGGCAGGGATTTGGGGTTAGGGCAAACCTGAATACTCCACCACACGCACAGGGCTTCACTTGTTACGGAGAGGCCGAAACCCCAACCAAGCCATGAACCCCCCAGAAAATATCCTCCTAACCCTAAACTCTTAAAACCCTAGACCCTTAAACCCTAAACCCTAAACCAACCCCTAGAAACTGAAGCTTTAACCCCAAAAACAACTTTAATCAACGCCATGCCATGCTTCAAAGAACCCTTCATGACAAGTGCAGGGGCCCCAAAAGTAAGCGCATCTGCATCGAAGTGTCCGTTCGGGTCTGAATCGTCCACCTCGCCTGTGGCCCGCGGCCAGGGCCCAGAGAAACCTGGAGCATCTTAAACATCTTGAACCCCCCCAAAATTTAGGGCCTTTACGGTTTAGGGTCAAGCAGGAACAAGTTCTGGAGTTTGAAGTAACAGGGCGAAACAAGCATAGACTTTCATGTCATAATGGTTCTTTCGAGGAACAGGTCCAAATAAGCATTCAAGGATGGTACTCCAGAACCCAGGAACAGGTTATGTGGTTGAGGGCTTTCGGAGAGGCTTAAGCTTCCGGGCAGAGTTTAGGGTTTAGGGTTTGCCTAAGCCCTAGTTTCTGAACCCTAACACGATGGGAACCAAATTGGGCACACAAAGGAANNATTAATGAGATCCTTATGTGGTCTACAAAAATGAGCAACGACAAATTTTGTGAGATCTTTATGTGGTCATAGATATAGTCACATTTAGAGAGTCAACGCCGTGACCGCGTAAAGATCTTCCGAAATAGTATTGGTGGCAAAGCCCGAGAGGTTTCCAGTTCATCATGTCATACCAAACAGTGTGGCAGCTACGCGTTTCCTGGGTGGGATCTTTATGTTTATGTGCCGTATTGAGCCCTCACGAGGAAGGATCCGGGGTTCGCTTTTCGGATTGAGAGTTCGTCTGTAAGACACGTGGAGATTAGCGACGTGGAGCTGTCAAAGCTCCAAAAAGGCCGGAGTGCCCGTTGGCATCATTAGGGCTGTAGTTCAAAACACAAAGGTTGGGACTCAGACGTTCAGGGCTTCGGGTTTCGTTTCATCCATTGAGTTCTTCCAGGGAAAGTTTCTATCTCGAGATCCATTGGCAAATGATTTGGTGAATTGCTTTCGCGGACGACGACGGACTCCGAAAATTAGGGGTACCTTTGTGTTCTTTTAGAAGAATTAGGGCCACCTGATACCTTGTTTAGGGTACCTTGTTGCAGTGCTTTCAATCGGGCCCTATGCCCTATTAGGACTCTCCGAACTTCCAAACAACTATTCGATTGCAGCTCCAGTTCCTGCAAGCTAGAAGATCCGGCCGAAACCGAACGAACCCCTTCCTACTCGGAGGTTCATCTAAACCGAGTGATACACTAGTTTAGTCGACGTTGCAGCTAGCTGTAGTTTCAGATACCTTACTTCGAATCTCCCGTGTACTGATTCTCCTGGGAGCCGTGCGGCTCCTTTAGGCCAGCACCCCAAACACCAATTAGTAAGTCCCAGGAGCAAGACCAGAGGCAGTGGCGTGGGTGAGGTAACTGTCCTGTGTAGGTTCCGCACAACCCGGGCTAATGTAGGGGCCTTAATAATTAGAATAGGGTTTTGGGATATGTTCTACTATATCTGTTTATAAGGAACCCCCAAGATAACGTAGGTAATCATTAAGGCCCCTATATTACGCCGCAATTGGATCTGTTATCCAGGCAGGTGCCTTCAACCGAAATTCTTCCCAACGTGACCTCGCAGACCCTAAACCTTGAACCTCTACATTGCAGGGCTGAGAACTCTCTTCTTGCTCATGCTGCTTGCAGGGCAGAGGGCTTTATGCATTCAAGGAAAGAACTGGTTCAACGGTACTGGGGTGTACTCAGCTCATTGAACTGGACTTTCAAGTAATCAGGGAGAAAGTAGTATAGACTCTGATCTCATAATGGTTCGTTTAAGGAATAAGTCCTAAAATAGCATCCAAGTATGGCCCTCGTGAGCCCAGTTAAAGGTTCGCGGGTGACTCTCTAAATTAGGGTTCCTCCATGGTCCCACAAAATAGTACGGCACCCTTATAAAAAGGACCTTAAAAGGGACCTCTAAACACCTTATAATACCTTTGTAGAAACCCTTATTAGCTCCCTCCAAGGAGCCCTAAAAGGGACCCTTCTTTAGAGAACTACCCATGCTGTAGCCCTTGTAAGCCCTAATCCCTTGTGGTACCCTTATAGGAACCCCTATAAAAGGGACCCCAATATAGAGAACTGCCCTCATAGGATCTGTGTGGTTTCCAGGGCATCAGGTGCTCCCTGGCCGTGTAGAAGCCTTCGGCTTAACGTTCTGTGCAGACTCTTTAGGGTTTCGGGTTCAGGGTTTAGGGTTTGGGGCGTAGGGTTCAAGGTTCAGGGTTTAGGGTTTGTGACTGTAAGGAGGACAGACTCGTGAGCTGGAACCCTGTTGACATCACCTATTCATTTATTAACTATGTATCTATACTTAACTATGTTTTTTAGTTAATTTGATCATGCACAGGCCCGATAGTCTGTTCTAAAGGTCTTTTGGTGGGGTTTGCACTTCCAACATGGGAATATAGGACCTCCAAATCAAGGACATCCAACGTGACACCTCGCAAAGGCTGGGAAGCTGGTCGCTTCTCCACCTCCCCTTGGGACAAGCTAGGTTCAGAGTCCGCTGAGTGTGTCGCAATGTTCCGATGAGCGAAGACCGCTGAAATAATACCTGTAGCCTGCAACCCCAACCCTACAACATAGCAGGTTCTGACTCGACATGACCCCTGTATTGACCTCTAAAGCAAAGCACTAGGCTTCTGGATCTCCAGCTACACCCCACAGGACCCAAAACTTCCAACAACACCTGAGGCGATTGGGAATAGCTCCAGGTCTGTGCCAGCCAAGGTTCATAGAAGCTGCGTATATAGTAGCTCCCAGGAGACGTACCTTGAGGCCGCCGGCAAAAAACGCCAAAAAACGACCAGACACTCTCTGTCTCGCAAGTAATGATTACTACGGGCAAGGGTTCCCAGAAGGGTAAGACGACCACCACACGTCACGATCCAAAAACATTGAACCCTGTGAATCATAAGACACTGAAACAAGCCTGTAGTACCCTTCCAGATTGCTGAGCGGAACCTTTCCCTAAGCCCATACTACCCTTCTAGATTTCTTAGCCAAACCATTAAAGGACACCTGAGCCCTACAGTAATCTGATAGATTCCTTGGAACCCTTCAAGGAGACCTTTTCTTAGGAATCCTAAGACCCTCGGCCCAGCCTGGCATCAGCGTCCAGAACTCAGCCCGTTCAGAAGGTGGCTTCGCCGGCGGAGACAAGGCGAGAGATGAACAACTCCTCAGTCGCTTTGAGGTGTAGGGGCTGGGGTGCAGAGGGGATTCGGGGTTTAGGGCCTTTAGGGGTTTAGGCCTTCAGGGGTTTAGGTGTTAAGGGTTTGTGGTGTAGGGGTTCTATAGGCGGTTTCGGGTTTGGGGTTTAGGGGTACGGGGTTGGGGGTGGCTTAGGGTTACTACAAGGGAACAGCTTCTGAGTCGTTTGTCGGGTGTATAGGGTTTCTAGTAGGTTATGAAATTTGATACTGATTGCTGTTAGGGTTACTTTACGTCACTAGGGGTTCATGACGGAACGTTTAGGGTTTGGGGTTTAGGGATCAAGGGTTTAGGGTTTTAGCCGTTTTGGGTGTATATAGTGAAATCTGGGTTTGAGATGTTTAGTGCTGGGATTCCCTTATGTTTTGCCTCAAGGGCACGAGGATAAGGATGTGCAAACTTTCTGGCTTCTAGTTTAAGGTTACTGCGCAGTCGGGATACCGTGGGATCCTCATCTCATGGCGGGAGCCTGAGGCGAATCGAAACAACGGCAACATGCAGAGGAAGCTGGTCCTTATCGACCCATGAGCCCTGAACACCCTAAACCCTAAACCCTAAACCCTAAACCCTAAACCTGTTTTGGGGTACAAGGGCTTAGGGTTCTCTCGCGCTGCAAAGAGCAGCGGGCTGAAGTCTCGGCGTTAGGGCTTAAGGAGAACAGGGCTTAGGGTTTAGGGGTTAGGGTTTAGGGTTTAGGGTTTGGAGGCCAGGTTGGAGAAGGAAATTTTGGGGAGGTATCAAGGCAGAGAGTGCCCTGGGCGCATAAATAAGCCCGGGGATCTGTGCTACCAGCAAGGCCCCTCTGGAGCTGCGAATTCGCCAGAGCCTCTCGTCGCTTTCGCATGCAGCTGTCATGAAGATTGGGTTGTGAGGTTGGGAAACATGAAGCAGGATATGTGAACAAAGCAAAACAACAAGTCAAATCTTGGTTAGAGCCGGAAACATACTTAATTTCAGGACTGTGCTTGGCTAGCCCTGACAGATCCCGAAATCAGCACCCAATCAAGCATGCACAGCCACGAACGCACGTGAGTCTGTGGCACCTGTATATGTGCACGAAGACATACAACCAGAAGCACACAAATAAGCAAGGGAGCAAGCAAACACACCTTTACACAAAGAGCCGAACAAACGGCGTACACACAAGATATATATATATATATATACACACAAGCAACCATGCAAACACATAAGTAGACAACACGAACAAGCACAAGAAGACGAGACAAACAAGCAAACAAAACAACAACCGAACAAACGAACCAACACAAGCACAAACACAAACACAAACACACACACACACACACACACACAAACACACACACACACACACACACACACATCCACGCAACAGGACTTTAGCGCAAGGCCTGCCGCTAAACATGCAATTTATGGCTTCTTGCCAGCTTTGACAGCTGCAGTCACACCCAAGCTGCCAGCTTGGCCGCACCAGTTGCGTAGTTGAGACGCACACACACAGAGAGATTTTGGGGTGCCATTGCGTGCGGGTCAAGCAACTCTTCATGCTATGCTTGCAAATGCTCTGATGCGGGTCAAGTGGAAAGGGTTTCAGAGAAATCATATTCTCGAAACCGTGGCTGGTCGGGAAGGGGTTGGTCGCAAGCGAGCCGGCTCTGACACGTCTATTACAAGCCCATTGGTTTTGACCTGAGGCCCAACATGTGTGTGTGTGTGTGGGTATGCGTGTATGCATCCGCGTGCAACTAGATGTAGGAACGGACAGAAAGAGATAAACGCAGGAAGCAAAACACGAACAGCGAACATGCGTAGAACGGCAAGATCGAATCCAAGCTTCCAAGACTGCTCTAACCCCGGGGCTCCGAATAACCCAAAGTAAATACCAGTTATAGGCTTCAGACCCTCAAGCAGGTACAGTTCGCATACTTGGAGCCCCAGGGTACGGGCTTGGGAGGCTTCCGCATTTACTGGACTTTGAAGTGACCCGGAGAAAAAGTATAGACGTTCTAATTCACAATGGTTCCTTTAAGGTTTAGGGTTTAGGATTAGGGCTTGTAAGGGCTCCTTGAAAGAACAGGTCCACAATAAAAGGTTCAAGTATGGTACTCTTGAACCCAGCGTTTAAGGCACAGGAAAGACTCCACAGGACTTGGCAGAACTCCGACATCGTGAACCGTGGGCAGTGACTGAACATGCGTGAATGAACTATAATATACCCGGTTTGCCCTTTATACTTTGTAAACCCCAAACCCTGAAGCCCACGACTTAAACCCTGCACCGTGAACGCGAAACCCTAGAGCCTAAACCTTAAACCCTGCAAATTTACTCTGAAGAAGTTCGACCGACGGGATCGTGTTGTGGCTACTCGGCTACTGCTGCGACGACGACGACGACGACGACTACTACTACTACGTCTACATACTCCTATATGTCTACTACCACTCGTCCTGTTTCTACTTACACTGCTTCGCATAAGTACTATGACACAAGTGCTAATTATATCGCTATGTCTCAACTTGTCCTTTGCATCGGTTTTGGGGTGTGCAATTCGGATTCGAGGAGCCTTTCGTGTGACGTGACGCTGCAGCTGATCAGTGTCCAGGATCTGTGATGATCCTTCGCAGCCTGCGGCACTGCAGTCGGAGCTTCAACAAACTCTGAACTCTGGTAGTGTTATCATTGTTGACACCCGGCACCCGACTCAGAGTGTTAGTGTCGTTGTGCTCGGTTTACAACCTAAGCTTGCGTCACTGAGCCTCAGTGGCAGGAGCCCCCACATTCTACACCCCGCATCCCAGACACTCAAAAAACGGTCACGAGCTGAGATGTCCTAAATCCTCAACCCTAAACCCTAAACCCTCAAATCGTAAACCCAATGTACCTTACACCGAAACCAGAACTCCACATCCTCAACCGCCCCCAACCTAGACCCCGTAACTACCCGCGATTATACCCTAAATACCTAGGAGTTAGGATTTGGGGGGACCCTTGGGGATATAGACCTCAATAAGGTCCTGTGTAAGAGAGGCATAAGTAGGGTTACCTGGGAACACCCACTATTAAGGACCACAAGGGCTCTATTAAAGGGCACTTGGGGCCCAAACCCCTAAACCGTAAAACCCTAAAGCCTAAACCCTACACCCTAAACCCTACAACCCTACAGCCAAAACCCTAAACCCTAAAGCCTAAAGCCTAAACGCTAAACCCTAAACCCTAAAACCCTAAACCCTAAAACCCCTAAACCCAAAACCCCTATACCCAGACCCTAAACCAAGGCTCCGCCTGCCAGGTCTGGATCGTCTCCAGGCCCACAGATGCCGCCCCCGGCAGAGCCGGCATCGAGGCAAAGGGCGAAGCGAAGCCACGCATATCTGAGGAAAGGGTTTAGGGTTTAGGGTTTAGGGTTTAGGGTTTAAGGTTTAGGGTTTAGGGTTTAGGGTTTAGGGTTTAGGGCTTAGGGCTAGTATACTACCATGTAGTACTACCACGTAGTATTTCGTATGTAGGGTTTAGGGTTTAGTATACTACCATGTAGTATAATTAATCTGTTTTAATCTTGTTACTATGTTATAATGAGTATGTTGTAGTAATTCTTATAACCTTATTATGCCATAGTAAATGGGGCTTCAGAGGGCTTCATGGGTTTGATCGGACCCTATACCCCAAACCCGTTGAAGGTTTAGGGTTTAGGGGTTTAGGGGTTTAGGGGTTTAGGGGTTTAGGGTTTATAGGGTTTAGGGGTCTAGGGGTTTATGGTCTTGGGAAAAGCTCTGTCTGAAGCCCTCAAGACCAATGGTGAGATCCTGAGAAATCATGGTACAGAAGGCCACAATAGAAAGCCTTGTGAGACTCCACACACCGTTCAAAGATACAAGAAGCCACGCAAACGATCCCAAATCCCACAAGAAAGAGTTCAGAACCCTAAACCCTATATAGGCCCCATTCTGAACCCTAGCGCCTTCTAGACCCGAAGCCCCGACCCGAAACCCCTAACCACCCCCGAAACCTTAGACCCGTGAACCCTTAACAAACAACTCCGAACCTGGGCCCTTCGCCCTTAAAAAGCAACGTTTAGGGCTATAGGGTTTAATATACGGGCCTTAATAATTAGAATAGGGTTTTGCGGCCCATTATACTAAAGTTATAATAAGGAACCGCCAAGATAATACAGGTAACTATCTAGGCCCCTACATTAGGAGGGCTGGCCTAGACCCTAAACCCTAAACCCTAAACCCCAAACCCTAAACCCTAAATCCTAAACCGTACCCAAAAAGGGGGCTGGCCTGAAAGGCAAAGGGTCGCACGAGACTCTGGCATGATATAGCACTGCTGCTGCGGCCTGGGCTTGGAAGAGTTGGTTTTTGGTTTTAGGGCTTGGTGCCGTAACCCAAGAAAGACATACCCTTTTTGGGGCTCCTTACTAGGATATTTTTATGAAAAATCCTGAAAAATGTAGGGTTTTCAGGTGGCGAAGGGTAGAGTTGTAGGGTTCAGAGCCAATCGTTCCGACCCCTGTCGTCTGGGCTCGGACATTCGGAGTTCGGGTTTAGGGCTTTAGGGCCTTTCTTTTAAGCCCTAAACCCTAAACCCCTAAATCTAAACCCTAAACCCTAAACCCCTGAACCCGAAACCCTAGACCACCCGAACCCTCAAGAAGCCTGCATCCTATTGGGGCTCCTGAATATCATTTCCTATATAAGTCCTCGAAAAGGGTAGGCTGTTCAGGGTCTTAGGGGTTAGGCATGTTTATGCCTTAGGGCTTCGGAGAGTCTAGGGTTTAGGTTCCCCAGCAACCCCGAATGATTTGGGCACCCTTGTTCCTAATATTCGGTATAATGTCAAGGGAACCCCCAGAATAAAAAGGACAAAAGGGCACTGCTGAGGAACCTGTGGGTTTAGGCCCAGGCATGATTGCTTCTGAGTCCGGCCCTAACATTGGCATTGCTGTCATCAGGGGTTGAGGCCTGAGGGTTTCGGGTTTCGGGTTTCGGGTGGTTTAGGGTGATTTAGGGTGGTTTGGGGTTTAGGGCCCTTGAAAAGGAAGCCTCACATCAAGGAAGGCTGCTCGAAATTTTGAGGCCCCGTTACGATCAACCCTTAATCCTAAACAGTACTTAGCAGTCCTTATCACAATCCCCAAACCGTCCCTGAGAGCAGCCCTGTACAAGGAACCCTTTTAAAAGGAACCATTATCCAAAAGAACCCTATTGAAGAATATTAAAGCACCTATACTATCCACCTTAAAACTGAACTCTACTTAGTAATCCTTGTCGTAATCCCAAAGCCGGCCCTCATAGCAACCCTTCCATGTAGCAACCCTTTACAAGGAATCCTGTTGTAACAACCATAAGGCCCCTATAGCAATCCTTATCGCAACCCCAAAACCTAAATATAGAATAGGATAGGTTTTTTGGGCGGTACACTGTACTGAGGAACTCTACGGAAAAATGTTTGTAATTGTTACAACCCTTAACCCCAAACCCTAAACAGCAAACTCTAAACCCTAAGCCCCAAACCCTAAACCCTAAACCCCAAAACCCTAAACCCCAAACCCTAAACCCCTAAACCCTAAACCCCAAACCCTGAACCCAATAACCCTAAACCCTAAACCCTAAACCCCAAAACCCTAAACCCTAAACCCTAAACCCTATAAACCCCTAAACCCTAAACCCTATAAACTCCAAGCCCTAAACCCCAAACCCTAAACCCTAAACCCTATACCCCAAAACCCTAAACCCTAAATCCTATAATTAAACTCCAAGCCCTAAACCCCAAAACCCTAAACCGTATAAACCCCAAAACCC